TTACTCACATTATACATCTCGCACAAATGTTTATTTTTATAGTTTCAAAAATATGAAATTGGGTGGCTGTACAAGTAGCAATTTACACAAAAATAATAAATAAGGAAAATATTAGTTTGGTGAAACTAAATAAGCCTGCAGCCATTTTTGTTTTGATCAACAATACAGCCATTTAGAAGAAGGAAAAAATACTATTTTTAGAGCTGTGAACTTTTCAATATTTATTTTTGAACTGTCATTTTCATTGCATGTTATAAATCAAAGTGCTAATGCCCTAAGATCATTCTATTCATAATCAATCACATTAGAGAGAGAATATTCTAGAAATTATAAGACATAATAAAAACTAAATGTAAATATAATAGCTAGAAAGAGATGGTGTTCCTACTTCTAGCCCTGACGACATCAATGCCAAGATTAGGAGGTATTGGAAAATGTGATTACTTTCCTTAACAGTATCCTGTGCCTGCCCTCCAGGGCGTACTGGCAGATATGAAGGTTCCTGTGGTTAGAATTGGTTTAATAAAATAACTTTTTTTCCACGTTAACAATATTCTTATGATCCTTTAGACATCTAAGTGTATGAGAAAAAATATATAAAGTGAACAGCCTCCTCATAGACACAGTCAGCTTGTGTATTTTACTTAAGTTGAAGTTAGTTACTTCAAGAAAAGTATAAAACTTAGAAGGCCTGTGAGGCCATATCTAGTGTGTTGATCCTTTAGGACGACTTGGCATCATATAGTTTAAAATGGAATTTCAGAATTTTAACAGTTTACATTAGAAAACTGTTACATAACTACTAAGCATATAAAAACTCATATACATACCTAAATTGGTATGGTGGTGTGTGTGTGTGTGTGTTTTCTAGTTCTCAAGTTGAAGTTAAATATAGACATTGATTACATTGCAAAGAGTTAAAACATGTTCTGTATGCTTAAATTTGGATGACTTTGGCTATGAAAAGTATATGTATATAGAGAGGAGACCTACTAAAGTCACGCAAATCACAAAGGAAAATTATTTTTCTGTTAGAATGGCTTATTAAATAGGCGTTGTTTATATTGTGATTTATATTTTCAAATATAATTTCGGGATTTTGTCCCATTCACTAAGAGAATGAAAGATATCTATAAGTTAAAGATAAAGGACAAAACTAAAAATTTCCAATCAAAAACTTCAGAAGATGGAGGTGGTAAATGGCCTCTTTTATGTTTTACAATATTTTCAGAACATTTACACTTAATGCTGAATTAATTCTCAAGTGCAGAAATATACATATAAGTGGTTTTATGAATCTTTCTAAGCTGATGTCTTCGCCTGTTAAAAATTATGCTGCTCAGTTAGCGTTAGAGGCCTTATGTTTGCTAATTACACATGTATGGGCTACATGAGTCTCTATATATGTGCGTGCTTTGTTCCAGCTTCTTGATTCTTGATTCAAATTCTCTATGTATAATTGTATGAAATATTTAAGGTAAAGGAGTCAAAGAAGATTGTTAAATATCCAGCAAGAATCCTACATACCTTTATATATATCTTAAAAGTATGGGGCTGTTTTGAACATGATTTTGCTTGCCTGTCTGCCTTTTAGCCTGACTCCTTCACTCTAGTGTTACGGAAGTCTGTTGGAAACTTTTTCAATAAGCTAAGTAATGTTGTACCTTGCAAAAAAGCTTTCCACTCTGAGAAACAGGGCCTTATAGAGTGGGAATGTTTTCATACTGGGACTACTGAGATTTTGCAGATGTGTGCATCTGAGGTGTCCTTAAATGTATTGAATGTAATGTGTTGAATGTTTATGTGTAATCGATTAAGTATCTATATGTATGTGCATATGACTGTCTCAAGATGTATTCTCAGGAATACCGTTACCTGGAGTTTGAAGAATAACTGTTCAAAAAAAAAACAGTCGGGGAAGATTAGAAAAAAGTTCAAGATAATTAACAATTTTTTGTAATGTTCAAAATATTATTGAGTATGTGACTAAAAAGCTAATTATTACATATGATAAATACAGTATTCGTAATACTAGATCATTTCTTGAGCTAGGTTGCTTAATGATATTTATCTTATTCAGAGGAAAATTAAAACAGACATCTACTGCCCATGTATAAAAAATTGGACTCAACCAAGAGGTTGCTTCTTCAGAAATTAACTTTTGAGAGACCTTGGAATAAACAAGTATCATCCCTGATAGTAGGTGTAGATTTATATTACTCAGATTCAATTAAAGCAGTTCAAATCCTGGATATACCATTTCTATAGCAAAACATTTTACTTTCATCTTTCAGTATTTGCTGCTTTCTGTAATTCTATTAGAAAAGTTATTTGATTTTTCCAAAAAGGAAACTGAGTGCACTGGACAAGGCACTGAGAACTATAGTATCAAAAGGCATAAATGGACGTGGCAATGCTGGGAGAAAAGTCTGTGGTGTTGGTGTCTGGTTAGAGCCTGTTGCACAGGCTGGGAATAGCTGGTTTGCTATTCAAGCCTCCACGAGTACCTTAGGCAGAGTCTCATCTTTCTTCTTTAGTATCTTCCCTTTAGTCGATGAAGAACATTCTCTACTCTGCTGTCCAGCTCCAAGAGTATCTGCGATGAGAATAGGGCGTATATAGGGACCTATAGGGAAGAAAGGGTCATAAATAGAATTATAGTCCAAAACACAAATTAGATATCCTTCCTCAAGTTATACAGGATGCTTCAGTAGTCCCCGGAATTTGCTGCTAACACACCGTGTCATGCTGTTGTCCTGTGACCTCACACTTCCAATTCCATGGCCTTGTCTGAGCAGTGAGTGGAAAGCCTCACTTCCTCATTTACTATAGTGGGTCTCAACTGCAGCATCTCAGAAACAAAGTTTAGTTTGACACTCAGGACAATAAAAACAAGTTAAGGGCAGAATATATTTGGAAGAGCTTAACACAAATTTATTTATATTATTTTAGGATCATTTAGGATTACAGATCCGTGTACCTCCATAATATTTTTCAATAGCCACTGTGACTGCAGGATGAAAATCCTTTATTAGCCATTTTGTAGGTAAAAAGAAAAGATTGATTTCACAGCCAACTTCCCTCAGATGACTATGAAGTCTGTTATGAATACTGAATGACCAAAGAGCATGGAAAAAATGCATATGAATAAATACTGAAATGTTTATGAGAGATATTTATGAAAGATATTAAGACTTCTGTGTTTGAATATGCACATATAATAAAGTAAATCTAAAAATATTTAAGATGCCTAAGTTTCATTTCTCTTTTCTCAACATAGGGGAGAGGTTAACTCATTCAGGAAAGTGTTCATTTTGGGTCCCTAGGCTGTTCCTTGATGTCTCTCCTCCGCCCCCACAGTGTGGCCTAAGGTCACCCTCCAGTAAGAGACACCTAACTCCTCCCTCCAGTCCCAAATGAGCTCTGTTCTACTCATGCTTTCTACCCCCAACTTTCAAAACAAAGCAGAAGGGGCATAGTGGGAGTCAGTTACCCCAGCCTGACTCCTCTGCCCAGCTTATGACCTGCTGGAATGACTGGTGGATTTCCCAGGAGCAGTGTTAAAGCCCTGGCTGTCCTCTCCAAGTGGCCAGAACCACAACCGGCCCGGTTCCCACCAGTCTGCCTTTCAAACAGAGGATAAAGTGCCCTGTCCTACCCTCTAAGCTACAATCTTGTTAAATGCGTTTTTTGCCTCACATGGCTTCACCACATCTCTTTTCCTGACCCAGTGACCCCTCTTACCCCCTCCTGGATTGTGTCTGAACAGTACATAAACGTATTACAATTTGTCATTGAGCGTTTCTGAGGGGAAAAACAAAAGAGAAGGTAAGAGGGATGAGGGCCAGAAACTGAGAAGGAGAATAGTGATTGATACCGGCTCAAGGCAAGGTTGACATTAGGGAAGCCATATTGCAGAAAAGAAACCCTATTTCAAACCCTGTAACTCTGAACAGCCTCTGACACACTGACCCAGCTGGATGTGCACCCTCCAGGAGATCTAACTGCTCTGTAGCCTTTACGACCCCTGCTTGTGCGTGTACCTCCCAGCTGCCAGGAGATGATCACTTTGTCTTTTGAGTTCCTTAGGAATGTGATGACCCGGCAACAGAGGGTCTATGCCGACAGCCATCATCAGTGAAAACTGAAAGTTCTGGGGTGGCACTCCCAGTCTGTAACAGCCGAGGGTCAACATTCCTAACCCGCTCCCCTGTAACCCACGGGCGTATATAACTGCTGTAAGATGTCATGCCCCCTGAAGATGGTTCTTAGGGACATGAGTGGGCCATCTTCCGTCTTGCTGGCAGGCTGTAATACACTGTCCTTTCTCTGGCGCCATCTTGCCTCTTGGCGACTGGCTTCTGCCTCCTGGCGAGCAGCTGGTGCCCTTTGTGTGGTAACATAACCCACCAGCGCCCGTCCACGCTGACCCCAGGCCCGTGCGGGGCGCGGCCCGGCCCCTTAGCTAGCCCTCACGACCACCCCGCCGACCACCCTGCCGCCGGCACCGGCTCAGCAGAGGAGGGAACCGAGGCCGGGGAGGCACCTGCCGTCACCCAGCTGGTACCCGGCAGAGCCAGGATCCCGCTCTAAGTCTCACTCCCCAGGCTCTTGGAGGAGTTCAAGGAGAGGCACGGGGGGTGGGTTATCTGGTTTGTCTCTCTCGGCTAAGCCCAGGAGCTGGAGGGGAAGGAGACGAGCGCGTACGCAGACAACGGAGACACAGAGGTTGAAGGGAGGGCGCGAGCTGAGGAAAGCGAACCGCAGGGCATGGAGGGCGAAGAAACCGCTCCAGCACTGCCGGCACCAGAGACCCGCGAGTCCCGCCGCGGGAACCACGGTCAGAGGAAGGAGGCTGGAAGGCCCTCAGACAGCCCGGGAGCCCTCAGGCTGGCAGCCCTTCCCGGGGGAGGCGGGACTTCCGGGCTGCAGAGCATCTGCTTCCGGGGGAGTCCGGAAGGCTGTCTGGGGAGGGGGCGGGGCCAGAGCCGCGGGCCAATTGGGGCGCCGCGTTCGTCGCGCCGGGCCTCGCGGGGTCACCTGCCCTCGGGGACCAGCACCATGGCGTCAGGTTGCAAGATCGGCCCGTCCATCCTCAACAGCGACCTGGCCAACCTGGGGGCCGAGTGCCTGCGGATGCTGGACTCCGGGGCCGACTATCTGCACCTGGATGTAATGGACGGGTAACTCCGTGGGCTGGGGCCGGGGGCCGCGGGCGGGACCGGCGCCCCTTCTCTGCGTGCCTGGGGGTGCCGGCGCCCCAGTCTGAGCGCGCTCTGAGGAGGACGGGGACCTGAGCGGCTCCGGGCTGCGCCCTCCCCAGGGACGCGTGTCCCCGCTGGGGACCCGGGAGCCGCTGAGTCCCAGGACGCCCGCTGTCGGTGAGGGAAACTGAGGCGGGGAGGCGTGACTTGCCCAGGCGCGCACGGCTGGTGAGTGGCAGTGCTGGGAGGCAGACCTGGGGTGGTGGAGAGATGGAGGGCTGGCCGGGGGGGCCGCCCGAGCTCCGCCTCCTGACCGCCGAGGGTCGGTCGGTGGGGGAGGAGCAGAACCCCGCTGAGGCGTCTGGAGGGTGACAGGAGCGGGACAGCCGGGTGCACAGCGCCTGCCTGCAGTGGGTTCCCGTAGTTGCGCCGTTGTCCGGGCGTGGACTTGCCGGTCTGTCTGACCAGGCGCCCTGCTCTGCAGGGAGGCCAGCGTTGTAATTTTTCGGCGCTGAAGTTGTAGCGCGTGCCTCAGCACTGTTCGGAGTCAGGAGGATGCTAGTTTCCTAAGTCGGCTGTGAAATGAGGAAACAACCCTGGAGAAGACGGCCAGACTCCCGCAAGATTGCACAGCGTTGTGACACAGCTGCGACTGGCGTCTTCTTGGGTTTGCCAGGTCGTTCTCTGAGCCCCGCTGGTGGCAGCCGTTACCTCGGGGCGGGGTAGAAAGATAAATTTATTTTAAATAGATAAAATCGCTGTGTGTTCTCATGCAGATTTCCAAATTCGTGTGTGTACAGAAGACGGCCAGTTACTTCCCTTTCTTTTTAGTGTCACTCCTTTTGGGAGACTGTTGTCTTCCTCTCTGTTCTCTGGTTAAATCTGTCTGTTCTCTTTTGCGTTCCTCTTGGTTAACCACTCTGCCCAGCGAATAATGGCAAAGTCTTGACCTTAGAGTGCTAAGAATTCTAGGCTAAGTGTGTAAGAAGATTACTAAATATTACCTCGTACAGAAGTTTGATTTTTAGTTTGCTGTCATGTGTAATTCTACTTCTGTATATTTTTTTGACACCTTTGCTTGCAAGCCCTGAAATTTCACAGTTAATATTACTGAGTGGTGTGCATACCCCAGAGACGGGTAGCTACATTTTTCTGTCTGTGACACAGAATGAGACACAAAATTTTGTGTCTGAGACACCTAGGGGTCTCAGGATAGAACAGGCTCTATGTATATGTGTATGGTCTGTTTGACGCAGAAAGCAATGGTTTAAGTAAGTCTTGTACCACGCTTGAGTAAATGAATGAATGCAGAAAATTGTTTCAATGCACCAGTCAGGAATATTAATGACAATAGTAGCTAATATTTAGGAGCGCTTACCTTTCTGTTCTGACACTTTTTGTGAATTAACTCACACAACCTTAGGAAGTTGGTGCTGTTATGAGCACCAGCATTTGACAGTGAGGAATCGGACATAAAGAGGTTAAGTCACCTGTCCGTGGTCTCACGGCTAGGAAATGGTGGGGCAGGATTGGAAGCTTGTGTTGTCTCACAATTTAAATATCTTCTGTGGGTACTGGGCTTGCAGAGAATGATTAAGACATTCTCTGTCCTCAAAGAGCAACTTGGAATGTATACACTCACTGTTGTTATGTATTTCTTGTCTGTCCTGCTGCACCATAAGGCAAGGTCTGTCTCTGCCTCACCCCTGTGTTCTCTGCAGGTAGAGGACCAGGACAAGCTTAGTTGTAATTGGTTGAGTGAATGAATGGCTTTATCATAAGGGAGGGATCTCTAAGGAATCCCTTTTGCCCCCTCCCCCTGCGGCAGGCGTGGAGCTTATTAAGACAAAAGTATTTGGTTTTTATCACTCCTCTCCCCCTTCGCCAAGAAATGTCTTGGTTTGAAAAAACTAAATACTCTAAACACCGTTTTAAAACCCTTTCCCTTTTAAGCTTCACAGCTTTTTGAGCTAAGAGCTGTTTTTATTCTCCTTTTGCAAAGGAGGAAGCCAGTTGAGGGAGGCTCAGCCCTTCGGGAATGTCCCACCAGAGGAGGCAGAGCCTGGCTGAGCTGCAGGGTCCCTAGGCCAGGGAAATGAAAGGGTAGTGTGGACTAACCACAGCTTGCCTTCCTGCCAGGTCCTGTCTCCATGCTTCTCTTTTTCCTGCCCCCCTTAAAAACCTCCACCATGACGCTGAATATGGGTGCACTGCTTGTTTTCTATGCTCCCCCCCACTCCTCTGGAGGCCCCCAATTTCTCTCCTGATTAAAGCTGAATGTCTCCATCTTGAAAGTCAAGAACAAGTTCTGGGAACACTGTAGGTGTGGGGCCCTGGGATGGTGGGATATGTGAATAGAGGACAAGTGGATTCTCTGGAAAAGAAAATTGGAGAGCACGTAAAGCCGGATGACAGGACGGTGACTGGAACTGTGTTGGTCCTAAGTGTGGGAACAGAGCAAATAAGCAATTCCCAAATTAGTTACTAGGATTTAAAATTGGGGAGATTCACATTAGTGCTAGATTTTTGACTTTTCATAAACATCCAAAGATTTGCCCGTAGTGGGCCCACAGTCCCCTAAGGCCGCCTGGGCTGGAGCTAAGTGGCAGCCACCATTAGCCAGGCCAGGTGTTCTTCATTTATCCCCTGGCCCCATCTGCCCTGTTTTGCTCTTCTCTGTTATCTGCCAACCCCTGTAGGCATATGAGTTTGTGATTCCTCTGTCACAGAAAGTGTTTCTGGGTACAATGTTGCTACATTTTATATCAACCTCAATCCTCCTCTTACCATCTCTGCCTTGTTGGGAGACCTAGTAAAGGTTTGATCTGTCTGAAGTAGATTGCATGACAATTGTAGACAAAGCTTCCAGTCGATAATAGAACGTGATGAGAGATAAAATAATTGTATCCTGTATTATAAACAATTATAGCTTAATCTCAATAAATTCAATGGGAACAAAGGATACTTTTTAAATTACATTTTATTTTTTGCAGACTTTACTCCAAAAAGTACCTTCGAGGAAAAAGAAGATAATTATGAAGCAGGCTTCCTTGATGAAATATCTCTTCATTCGAGTGAAATAATTTAGTGTTTTCCAAGCTACTCTAATAAGAACTCCCTGGGCACTTGTTAAACACTCAGATTCCCAGGTCCCCTTTGGTGTCTCTTGGCATGGGGCAGAGCCTGTGAATTCTTTTGTGGCAGGTGCTCCATGGTTACTGTTGTCAGGCAAATTTGAGGCGCCCTGACTTCATGCTTGGGTTTGTAGCCTTTTTTTTATTATCACTTAGCTGTGAGCCTTTGGTTTCTTCTGAGGATATTGGTGTGTTTTTATTCTTCCAGTGTTTTTGGTGAACCTGGTGCATCAAAGGGATCTAAAGTATTGCAGTTGGTCATATATTTGGGGGTCAGTAGTTTTGTACAATATGCTTCCATTTCCCAATGAATTAAAAGTGTGTTTGTTTTATTCTCATTTTCTCAAGATGTGGTTCTTATGTTTATTTTCATGAAAAATGAAACCTAAGGTGGAGACAGCAAAAGTGCTTCCAAAGCCACACAGCAGATTAAAAGAAAGTGAACGGAATCCACATCTTTCATTTCCAGCGATGTATAACCGTCAGTAGGCCTTCCTGCTGGCCTCTCTGACCCTTTCTTCCAAGTTCTAAGTAAATAATAAGGGTTTATCCGTAACCCTGGCAGTCATTGCTCTCAGGCAAATGGTAGAATGATTTCCAAAATACTAGAAACCCAGCCTCCAAGGACCAAATGTTGGTGAGTGGAGGTGTGTGTGCCCGTCCACCCTAGGCGTCCTGCTCAGATATGTCCTGAGTCCCGACCTCTCTCTGTCAAGTCTCGCCTCCTCCCCTGTTGGTTATTAGTTGTCAGTGGAGGGGCAGACGAGCCTAGTAGTTAAGAGCCTGGACTTGGAGCCCTCACCTGTGTTTAATGCCTGCCCCCAGCACTTCCTGGTTGTGTGACCCTGGTTCTCTTCCTCGTCTGTAACGTACAAGTAATAGTAGTACCTATCTCATAGGGTAGTTGTGAGGTTTTAATGAGTTAATATATGGAAAGTGTTTAGAATGGTGCCTGGCCTACATATGTTTTAATTTTTTATTAACACTCATTCTATCTGTCATCTAAGCTTAAGACCTCAGCCGTGGCTCAGTGTCTCTTCAACCCCCGCATCTAATCAGTTAACAAATCCTATCGCTTTGGCCTGTCCTGTTTCCATTCTTACTGTTTACTGTTCTCTGCCTTTTACCAACACCTCTTACCTCCCTTCTTCCAGTTTACTGCCTAGTCTGTCTCTGTACGTTATTATTCACATCTTATTTTTTACTTGCTTCTTGCTTTAAAACCTCACTTCGTATTTACAGCAGGCTAAAGTGCAAACACTGAGCCTGGCGTTTGATACCCTTAATGTGACCCAGACTGCCTCCTGCCTTTTCCACACTGGCCAGGCTGGTCAACACCATCTCCCCCCTTATTTGAACACAACTTTTTCTGCCTTAGCTTCATTCCTTTTCCCATCTTTACAAGTTAAGTTTGTTCTGTAAATCTCATGATCTTCCCCTCTTGTAAGTGCTGAACTCCTTGTCTCTGGAGCTGTTTTCCCTCGTTTTGCCTACTTGTTGGTGTTTAGCTTTTCTTGCAATCCTTGTATAGGCTAATACCTACTACTTTAACAAATAATGCCCAGATTTCAGTGGCTTAACATTATATAGTTCCTTTCTAGTTTGTGTGACAGTTCAGTGTGAGTGTCCTTCCATGCAGAAATTCAGGGCCACAGTCTCCTCCCATCCTGTGGCTCTGCCATTCCATAAGGGCTTCCTTACTGGCAGAAGGGTAAGGTGAGAGCAGAAGGGGAATACCACATAACCTCCTGGGGTCTGCAGTGACACACATCACTTAAACTCAGTCTTTTGGGGAGAACTACTCGCATGGGCCACCTGGATGTAAAGGGACTTGGGAAACTGGTCTTTGGTGGAGTTGGCTTCCTGCTGACACCTGTACTCTGACAGTGGGGTCATGGATCCTGGTGAGTCGTTAGCCATCTCTTGCCAATGAGATTGTGAACTTTTCTGGGGTAAGCAGGAGCTCTCACACGTATCTTTATAAAATACAGTACTCTCTGAAGCACCTAGCATGGGACTTGCATATGGGAGGTTTTGTTAAGAACTGAAGTGAGCTAGTGATAGAACAGGACTGACTGGAGTGGAGTAGTGGTTAAGCACTTTGGGTCTGATATGAGGAAGACTTAATTTGAGTCCTGTGCCCAGAAATTATTAACTGGGTGACTTAAGCAAGTTATTTATCCTGTGCTCTTTAAATGGGGATAATAAGAGCATCTCCTTCCTAAGGCTGTTGTGAAGATGAGATGAAGTAGGTACAATGCCTGGCATGTTGTAAACCCTCCATAAATGTGGTTATTAATACACACATCAAGTTTCTTTATTGATGATCTTTAAAAAAGTTTAAACAGTCATTTACTGCCCTCTGATAGCAGTGGATTATAAATAGCCACAGGCAGCCTGTGACAGACTGGGACTTGACGGACCCACATCATGGTCCAGAACTTTTTAACTAGTGTGTGACTTGGGCAAGTCATATAATTTTGGGGATTTTGGTTTTGTCTTCTTTCTGTTTCTACCTGTCAGGGATTATGAATTATAGAGTTAAGTCATGTGACATTATTATGATTTGTTGAACTATCAAGGAGATATTGCTTTGTAAAACCAAAATTATCCATATAATTTTAGTACTGTTTAATACTGATGTGAAATGTGAAAATGAAAAATATTGCAATCACACATGATCCCCTCTACCCGCATCAGAATTCATATTGAGAAAAATACAGAAACTGAATTGAAAACATTTTCAGAGTAAGATTTTGTTTGTCTTGTAGGCATTTTGTTCCCAACATCACCTTTGGTCACCCTGTGGTAGAAAGCCTCCGAAAGCAGCTAGGCCAGGACCCTTTCTTTGGTAAGTGGGTGTTGTGCCATCTGGAGCTGGGGGTGTTGCTCAAGTAAAGGAAAAGTAGATGGTTGAGTTCTGAACTTCCAGTTTCATCTTGAACCCTTTCCTGCTCTGTGCTGGAGCATCGTGGGCTGCGTGTAACCGGCCAGGCTCTCTCCTGCCTGAGGGCCCTGGCACTTTGCCTATCTCTTTGCCTGGAAAGCTGCTCACGTGGCTCGCTCTGCCCCATCTTTTGACCCCGGATCGTTTTTCCTTTCCTCAGAGAGGCCTTTCTAAGCACCCTGTCCTAAGTGAACCTTTATCCACTTATCCTATCACCTTCTGAATTTTCTTCTGAGAGCTTCCTCCATTCTGAGATTACTTTTATCAGACTGTAAGCTCCCTGAAAGCAAGGATTTCATCCACTTTGTTTACTGTGGTTTTCCTAGAACTAAGCACAGACACAAGACTGGGGCTCAGCAGAGTTGTTAAATGAATTTATGAATCGATTGATGGCCTAGAAGTGAAGCTAGTTATTTCATGCAAATTGGAGCTTTCTACTGGTGACGCCCATGTATGCTGCACTCCAGTGTCGTGGAGTAATGTGAATTAAGATTTTTAAGATCACACAGTGACCTAGAAATTACTTCTCATGGAACATGGATTCAGTCCATGTGTTATTGTTGCTCTTTTAAACTAAGCTAGCAATTCCTCACTTACCAGATCTCTTGTACATAAGGAATTTAACGAGTTTTCATAAATATGTTTTTATGTAACTTGGAATTTAGTAAAACATAGATTTTTTTTTTAATTGGCATCTTGTGGACTGATTTTAGGAAAGACTCTAGCTGTGCTGTTCAGTATGGTTGCCACTAGCTACATGTAGCAATTTAAATTTAAATTAGTTCAAATTAAATAAAATCAAAAATTAAGTTTTTCTGTGGCATTAACCATATTGTAGGTTCTCCGTAGTCACATGTGGCTAGTGACTACTCTATTGTACAGTGCCACTGTGGAACGTTGCCATCATTGTAGAAAGTTCTGTTGGATGCCACCTCTCTATAGGATCCATCCACTTTGAGCACAGCAAAGAAAATGTACGTTATTGCCTGATTTGTGTGGCATGAGGGAAACAGTGTTCCACCAACGTGTTCACCATTTTGAAATTTACAAATAATGGAATATAGTCTTCTGATTATCTAACTTATTTTGTTTTTTACTACATTTTGGAAAATGAGTTTTCCAAGATAAATTTGTTCTTATGATTATCAGAGGTGGATGAAATAAATACCATTGTTTGCCCCCATTGTACAGTGGCCTCAGAGTCCTCTACTTCTGGCTTTGTGTGGATTTAAAAAAATCTTTTTTTTCCTTTTCTCCCTTTTACTTAGGCTCCTAGTGTCACGTCTCACTGTTATTTGTGTCTCCTGCTGTCACTGCCTCCTCTCCTGTCATCAACCCTGGTGCACCACCACACACAGTCTGCTTTTTCTTCCTGTTTTTAGTTTTTTACTTACTGATAAACTTGCTGATAGATCCTTCTAGAATTAGGTCTAGAATAAAGATGAACGGATTCCATATACTTTAATATGTGGGTTTTGTGACCTTTGTGTTTTATATTAAAAGCGTTTTTTCTGTTTATATAATTCTTGCATCTTGGTTGTTGGATAATTGATACATGAATATGTTCTAGGAACTAAATCACAGGTTGTATGTATAACTGCTAAAGTTCTTAACTGTTCAGTCTCAGTGTTGAGAAGGAATAAGTATCTAAGAAATAAACTGATAGGGAAAAGTCTGTGCTTGCCGTTATCTAAATCAGCGATTTTCAAGTATGGTCTGAGGACCTACTGGAATCCCTGTCAGACGGTCCATGAGGTCAGAACTATTCTTATATTATGATATTATTTGCCATTATTTGTACCGATGGTGCAAAAGCAGGGGTGGGTTAGCGTGCTGGTGCCTTAGCCCAAATCAAGGGGGTGGTGTTGAGCTATACAAGTAGTTGCTAGATTCTTCATCGCCATGCTTTTGTAGTAAGTATCCTTGATGAAGTGGTACAAATTATTAATTACAGTAAATCTTGATCCTTGAGTGCATGTCTTTTTAATACTTTGCGTGACAAGGCGGGAAGTCACGTAAAGCACTTCTCCCGTGTACTGGAGAGTGATGGTTTTCTCAAGGAAAAGCAAACTTGCGCCATTGTTAGAGGGAACTGAACTAGCTGCTTTATTCACGAACACCATTTTCACTTGAAAGAATAACTGACAGATGAAGTATGATTATCAGACTTGGGTATTTTACTGACATTTTCTTTAAAATTAAATAAATTAGCCTGTCTCTTCAAAGAAAATACCATATTAGTTTTTGTTGCCACTGATAAAGTTAGAGCTTGCAAATGAAAATTAGAATTTTGGAAACCTTGTATGTGTTCCTTTAAGCTTGACCGCTTCCCAGTACTTACATCTTTTCTGATAAGATCTGTGACATTAACAGATGTGATTTTTTGATAGTATATAATGAAATGTGTCACTATTTAGAAGATCTGTGTAATTCAGTGAACCAGTACTTAAAACAACCCTTCAAAGTGTGATAGACCAATGGGTTTTAGTGTAACGAAGTATGCAAAGTTCACTGATAGGGTTTACAGATTCCGCATTGCAGCTGACATTGATAAAAGTACCACTTGTTGAGTTTTGGTGTAGAAATAGAAGAATATCCACACTTATCTGAAGAGGATATTAATGTACTCCCTTTTCTTCATATAAAACAGCGTATTGCACCAGATTGAAGGGAAAGCAGATGTGAGAATACAGATGTCTTCTGTTAAGCCAGACATTAGAGACTTGTAAAAATGTAAAGCAATGCCACTGTTACATTAACATGTAATAGATTTATTGTTGCTTATTATTATTGTTTTTTAAGTAAATTAATAAGTAGACACTTTAAAAATTTCTTAGTTTGAATTTCTAATACATTAAATATTAATAAATATAACGCACATCAACAACCTCTTTTGGGGTCTTCACTTAGATTCCTAAGAGTGTAAAGGGAGCCTGATAATAGAACATTTGAGAACTGCTGGTCTCGCTCAGTGTGTAGACCACAGGCAGCTTCATGGAGCTGTTCCCTCCCTGAACACTGGAGATTCCCCAGTGAGGTTGCTGCTCCCACGAGGGTGCTTGCGGGCTGGGGACTGAATGACAGAGCAGTCTGGTCACTTAGGGAATGAGTAAATGAGATATTTTTAAACCAGATTGAGTTGTCCTTGTTTATAATACAAGCAATAAGAAACCTCATATAGAATCTATCTTTTAAAAACAATGTTTTACCTATTAAAATATGTTCTGTTTTTGTCACTTTTATTAGTTTAGAAATATAAACTTTAATTTTGGCTTCTTTAGTCAAGTGATATACATACTCTTTTCCCTACGTTTTTCAAAGCTGTATTGCATTTGATAGTCTTAATTGAGTTCTGGAATACTAGCATTTTTTTCTCTAATGTAGCTCAGCTATGTCAGAAATGTGCTTCCTCTAGTAAAACAAAAACTCAAAATTCTTCTCACTGCCATCTGTCCAGCACGGGAGTATTTCCTGTTTCCTTCTTCAAGCGTTATTTCTTGATTTAGCCTCTTTTAAGCTGCCCTGTCCTTCTCATTAAATGCTGTTACATTGTAAGTCAAGATCTTGAAGGAGGCCATGCCCATTTCCCCTAACATTTGTATAATTCAAGCTTTAGAATTAGGGTGCATGTCAGGCTTCTTCTAGTTAACATCCTTCCCCCGAAATCCGTTTCTCCTCCTGCAGTTTTCTGCCTTTCAGTTAACGGCGGTTCTGTTCCAGGTACTCAGGCCCAGATCATTGCACCATCCTGAGCCTGCTCTCACCCTCCACATCGAATCCACAGCAACTCCTGCTGGCTCTACCGTCAGAACATACCCGGAATCCCACCATTTCTGCCCGTGCTCACTTGCTACCATTGTCATTTCTTGCCTGGGTTGTTGCCATGGCCTTCTGAGTCAGGTCTTGTCGCTTCTCCACTAAAGATCCTGCAGCGTTTTCCCCGTCTCCTTCAGAATCAGGTCCGATGCCTGCAGAACTCTGTACTGTGCCTGCTCACCCCGGGCCTCTCTGACCTCATCTGCTCTCCCCAGTGCCCCCCAGCCACCCTGGCCTTATTAACAACCAACCTAGTGTGTATTGTATTTACTCATTTTCTTTATGGTCTGTCTCCCCTACTAAGAATGTAATCCCCATGGCAGCAGAGACTTTTTTGTCTGCCTATTTTTTGCTCTGTCCCTGGGGCCTAGAATAGTTAATGGTGCAGTAAGTGCTCAATAAAATATTGGTGGAAGGCCAACCTTGGTGGTCTAGTGGTTAAGTTCAGCACACTCTGCTTCAGTGGTTGGGGTTCAGTTCCGGGGCACAGACCTACACCACTCTGTTAGTGGCCATGCTGTGTTGGCAGCCCACATACTAAAAAACAGAGGAAGCTTGGCATGGGTGTTAGCTCAGGGTGAATCTTCCTCAGCAAAAAATAAATAAATAAACAGATAGATAGATAAATATATATATACACACTAAAATGTTGGTGGAGAAAATCACTTGATTTGGCTTTCTTATTTTACAAATGAGGAAGCAAGTCCACATGGATAAAATGACTTTTTAGTTTTTTAGAGTGGCATTTCCTGGCCCTGGACCTAGGTTTCCTGATTTCTAGTCATTACTTTTCATATATAGCACCATATGATTTTTGTGGAAAATTGGGATTTTTTGGTAAATGAGTTTAACCCAGACCTTGTCTTCGGGATGAAAGGAGGCTAGCTGTAGAGAGGGTGACTATTTAACAATGACTGTGATGCCAGAAGAGTTCCTGCCCGCAACGGCGGACACTGTGGGCTGGCTGTGGTGGTGTGCGCCGGGTGTGGTCCTCGAGGTGGTGTTCAGGAGCCGTGTCTCTTCTCTCCAGACATGCACATGATGGTGTCCAGGCCGGAGCAGTGGGTGAAGCCGATGGCGGTGGCAGGAGCCAATCAGTACACCTTCCATCTTGAGGCCACAGAGAACCCCGGGGCTTTGATTAAAGACATTCGGGAGAACGGGATGAAGGTGAGAGGCCAGCGAGGCAGCGGTGTTTGACACTGTTTACCTCCGAGTTTGGGAGATTTGCTGGAAGGTGGGAGATGATGGGAGAGAAGACCGGACCCAGACAGCTGGCTTCAGCTGGGAAGCCAGAGTTTAAGTATAACTTGTTTGTCAGGCAAGATTTCTGTATTCCACTGATGTTTCCTGAAAATTACTGCATTTTAGAAACATTGACATTTGAGAGCCTGAATTATAGTCTGAACAATTTATGCATTCCATTTATATATGTATGCTATCCTCTAAGAGTAAATATTTCTACTGGGCCTGGTATGCCACAATAATATAATGTGGATGTAATTGTTGATGTCATGTAGCACATGTGTCTCTGTTACAGGTTGGCCTTGCCATCAAACCAGGAACTACAGTTGAGTACTTGGCTCCGTGGGCTAATCAAATAGATATGGCCTTGGTTATGACAGTGGAACCTGGGTTTGGAGGGCAGAAATTCATGGAAGATATGTTGCCAAAGGTAAAAGAAGTGTTTGATTCTGGGGTGAGGCTTTTATTGTGTGTGTTCATTCAGCGTGCATATATTGAGCCACTTGTGTATTTAGACGTGTCCTGTTCTGAAGGTGGGGAGATGGGGGTACCTACAGATCATTGTCATACAGTATGATAAATGCTGTGTGAGATTTAGGTGTGGAACTCAGAAAAGATATTAGACCTTAATCTTGAAATTTTCTTTCAAAACAATGTCTCTGTAGCCTTTAGATCTCTTGGGAGTTTTCGTTGAATGTTGAGGTTTTTGTCTTGTCCTGTTTCCGTGAAGCGTGCTCTCTGCAAAGCCATGACAAGTTGGATGCCATTAGCCAAGCAGAACGGAGCTTGGCTCCGAAACTTAATTTGTTTCAGTATATTAAAAAGGAAGTTTCCCCAATCATGATTGCATTGATAAAAAGTTATTGTGTGAGACATTTGAAGTCCCGTTTCAGAGGCTGACATCGGCTCTTTGATTTATTGTTTATTTGGTTGTCTGTTCCCCCGACATACCCGCTTCAGGAGTCACTTCCTTCCTTGTTGTGTATCTAGGTTCACTGGTTGAGGACCCAGTTCCCGTCTTTGGACATAGAGGTCGATGGCGGCGTAGGTCCTGACACTATCCATAAATGTGCAGAGGTGAGACTGCGGGACCTAGACCACTTTCCTATCCAGTGTCGTGCTCAGGACGTTGTCTTGTGGGCCAAAGAGATTGCCCCTCTATTTCCTAAATTGCCTTTCTTTCTTGGAAGAATATTTTTTGTTTAAATGTAGAAGTGAGAAAATAAAGTGAATATTCTGAAATCACATAATCATTAAATAGTAAGTCCTGGATATCTCAGTAATGCGGAAGAAAGTTCTTTTTTCAAAAAGAATATGCTGAATGCCAGCCTTTGGAAGATCAAGTTCCAGGGCCTTGGAGTGAGACATTTTTCCAAAATAGGGAAAGAAAACATAACTGCTTATAAAGGGAAAAAAATGTTATTCTGTAGAACTTATTTGTTAGCAGTTTGTCCCTTGCAAGAGCTGACCAGAGCTGTTTCTGATGAAGATCCAGATCTGGTGTCTGGATGCGTCTGGCGCCTACATAGAGGTGGGAGGGGGCCTTTTCCAGGTAGCGGGCGTAGCTGAGGGCGGTTCCTGAGCTCCATGAGAGGATGTGCCCCCGCTTCCTCTGCGCTGCAGGGGGTTCTGGTTCCTGTGGCCTGCTCTTGTTCAGCCACGTGGTCTCGTCCACACTTCCAAGTTCTTGTATAAATGCCACACTTTTCTGCTTGGTATGTATCACGAGTTGCCTGTGGTGAATATTCCGTGAAGAGGAGCTGGCCACACACTTAGTGCGCACGTGTCCTTTGATCCGTGGCCTCTGTGTATGAGCTGTGCTGTGCTGTTATACTGTTCCCACTTAAGAGACGCTACAGCTGACGTTGAGGTGTAACCTTATAGAAGTTCTTTTTTCATTTTTGTGAGCAATGTTGTTAGAGATGTCGCACACTGTATCCTGGGGTGACGTGTCTCCCTGGAGAAGTTCTCTGCCTCAGTGGCTCCCCCATTTCTCCTGGTAGTGAGTCACCTCACAGATGGGGTTTCCCTTCTGGAGTCAAATCCCAGGAAGCTCAGCTCCATTTGGACTTATTTGCTTTTCTCTTTCTTTGCTTCCACATTTAAAAACATCTTGAAAATCTTTTTTAAGCCCCCTCAAAACCATTCTGGAATGCAATGAAGCATAAATAAAGAGAGATTCCATTCCTTCTGGCATCAAAATGAGAAATTATTTAAATTTAATGTTACCATATTTTATGGATAATTTCATGTTTTAGCAATAATTGTTCTTTCAGACTATCTAGCAATTCATATACATAATTCAAAGATTAAAATATTGGTTTTTTTTTAGTAGCTCCGGGGACTTTGGTATATATTGGAAGAACCTTAATAAGGTTGAGGATTCAAGGTTTTAAACCTTATGTAAATGTTAGCGATGATGCAGTATAGCTTATTTAAAGGCAGTGACAAAAACGTCAGTGATTTCCTAGACACATTTCACAATAATTCCACATGTCATTTGTTAAGCGTTTTCACTTCTTTCTTCATGGAATTGGAGGCTGAGGTCTGTTCATCTCACAGTGGCTTTGGTACACTTAGAGTGCTGACAGATAGACGCAAGGGTAGGAGCTCTAGCCCAGGGATTCTGTGTTAGGCTTTTCTGTGTCTTCCTCTGAGGCGTAACCTAAGTGTTTACTTCTTCCAGGCAGGAGCTAACATGATTGTGTCTGGCAGTGCCATTATGAGGAGTGAAGATCCCCGATCTGTGATCAACCTGTTAAGAAATGTTTGCTCGGAAGCTGCTCAGAAGCGTTCTCTTGATCGATGAAACCACAAGGAGGCTTATGTTTCTGCTCATGAAGTCTCCTCTCTCCTGGAAAATAAGAATATTGACTTCCAGCTCATATCACGGTTGAGGCAGTGCTGCTGTTCCGAGCAACTATTCATTCCAGTGACTAAAATCTATGGTGCAGAATGTTATAAGAGGTTAGAAATCGGTGTGTATAGCTACATTTGTAGAGATGGAATTTAAAGATTAGTGTGGTAAAATACCGTTTTTACTGCGAGACTTGATTTTTATAAAGAGTAAAAATATGGCTGTATTAAGGTTATAAAAAGAAATGTGTCTTAATGTCTAAGGAAGGCTTATTAGCTACTATGGAAAAAATGTTTTTTTCTGGATTTCTAAAAAGAATATTTTGCTGTTTCTCAGCTGTTTTCCAAAAGCAAAGGAAGTCCTTGTTTTCCCTGTTTCATGTCATTTTTGATTTGTATATGTGCTTGATAATTTGAGTAGAATGGAATTTATGAAAAATCTAAGTTTGGATCTGGCTGGGATGGCATACATTTTCTTCTTGCTTCTAAAACATTTATTTTTCACTTTGCACCTTATATTTGATACATAAAAACAATGCATGAAGCCCAGAAATTTTCTGGTGGTCTATTCTAAAACACAAGCATAGATTTTATCATGGTGTTTTCTTTGCTGGAGGGGCAGGCTCTTCAGTGATTCCCCCCACCCTTTTCTTAATCACACCCACTGTTCTTCAGCACGTGAAATAATGTTGTGCCTCCTCTGAGCAGAAAGGAAAGGAAAGCCTCTATTTGGAAGTAATATTGAGTTGAATCCTGACCCTTCCCCTTTCCTGCGATTTGAGCTTAGAAAATCACATCAACCAGCCTCTTTGAGCTTCCTCAACTGGTTTATACATTGCATGTAGTTATAACCGTGCAGGGTTGTTTTGAGGTTAAAAGAGATACTATTACATATGTAAAGCTTCCACTGCTATTCTTGGAATTGTAGGGTAGTAGAATTGAGGGTGCTCCTTACAGAGAAGCTGTCATCATTATGTAAATTAGGTTTTCTAGGTTATGATGTACTTTGCTGTAATCTCATTGAATCTGCAGGTCATCCCTCTGGCTGGCAGGACAGGTGTTTGTTTTGTCCCCACTGGAAGGTGAGGAAGTGGAAGCCCAGCCCCAGGCTGGCACCGTGGGAGGGGCCAGTGAGGCACAGGTTTCTGGGCTTCACCCCTGTCACACATGCAGCGCTGGGGGCTGGGTTAGGCAAAGGAACTTTACTCATGTTGTCTTATTATTTCCAGTCTGACTTCACCCTGTAGCAGAACCACCTGGCTGAGAATATTCTGGAACTATGGATTTTGACCCCAAGGGTATATATTTTATTAATCTAACAAAGACAAGGTTGGCTAAGAGATGATAAGCTACAGAGCTAAGCATAAACTAAATGTTTGTTTATAACAACTGTGTCCCGGATTACACTTCAGCAACAGATATGTATCAGCCACTTCCTTCTTGTAAACACTCTTGCTATGTAACACATATGGCAAGAAATAACAGGACCAGTGTCATTGAATTTCTTTAGGCTATTATGAGTTTTGAGAAGTAAGGTTTGAAAAATAAGAATGTTAACGCTTAAGTATAGACTAGAGCTTGCTTGATTTTTTTCTACATTACAAGGTAAAAATGTGTTTGTTTCTTAATGTTTGTTGTTATTTTGGCTTAGGAGAGGTTTGTGCCGTGAACGGGTGGTGTTTGATCAGGTCAGACAACACAAGGCATATAGAAATAACTTTAATTAAAAAACTTACATAGAGGATTATAATATCAGACATGACAGATTTGAGTTTATTTACCTGGACAACTTGGGTTTGTCTGGCTTTTGTTTTCTTTTTTAAAAAATAAATGTACAGTAAAACTACAAGCAAAAATTTGTCAGTATTGAATTTGATTTTTTTTTTCTCTTTAAAGGGACTAGTATAATTTCCAATCCCTAAACAAAACTTGAGTGTCAAATCCCCTAGACTAGGCCAGATGGCCAAGATTGTCAGTTATATGGGTACAACAACCTGAATAACCTTTTTACATGAGAAAAAGCGATTCATATAAATTGTCCTCAACTTTGACATAAAAAAAATGATGTAATAGCTTCAGAAGGAATTTTCCTTAATGTACACTCCAGTATCCAATATTGAAGCATTATCCTTTGAAAAATGTTAATTCTCATTGTAGGACACAAGCAAGAATAAATGCTTGTTTGAACAGAGTAAGCTATGGGAAGGAATGACCAAAGTCACTAATAACACAGCAATATTTTGTATACTGATAGGACGTTCCTGTTTGTTGCTCATTTTAAGTTGGTGTCTTCTCTTCATGAGATACACAAAGTAGATAAAACTCAAGTTGAGTTTTAAAAGATGTGATAATTTTAAAATACACCAATATTTAACTCTACTTTGCTTGTCTTATTCTGTTAGGAGTGAACAGACAGTAACTTGTGTTTAGTCCCACAGATATCAGTGATTTCAAATAAAGGAGTATTGTGTTATCTGGTGTAGAAATTTCCATAAATAACTTCTACTATTGGTTAAACATGTTAAAAAAGTTCCTTCTCCATAGTCAAGACTTTTAGATGTCCATTATCATTGGAAACCTGTGTTTCTTTGTCTCTAGTGCAGCTTACATTGTCATAGGGTAGTTCATGTATGTATTTTCAGGTGGAGTGGTCACTGCCAGTGTTTTTAAAACTGTGTGTGTGTGTGTATATGTATGTATGTATGTGTGTATGCTCTATACACACACATTTGTATATCCTAATATATTTCTGAGGCAATTTTAAGGAATTACCATGTGTATAGGAAGAAGAAGAGGTGTCATTTGATGCAGAGGCGTGTGTGTGTGTGTATCTATGTGTGTGTGTGCGTGTGTGTGTGTGTGTTTGGAGTCTCTTAAGTTCTTTACCAGTGATGTGACCTGACGTCAGATTGCAGCAGTGTTCAGTTTTTGGTGCTTGTATTTGCATCATAAACACAAATGACTAGCACTTGTCTGTAGGTGAAAGCTAGTTACTCCTGTGGTTCAAGGAGGAAGAAGAGACATACCTTGCCTGTTTCTTAAATAGCATAAAAGATGAAGACATGCAGTACGTGCTCTTACTCTGGAACTGTGACCGGAGGGGCGGGGGATGGAGAACAGGGCTTCTTTTTACCTCCTGTTTTCCATTCAGTTACATGGGTTTCTTAACCTGTTTCCTGTCACCTATTTTTTTTAATATGAGTAACTCCTAGACCAGAGATGTTGTACTCTTCCATTCCGTCTGCCTGCCTTTTTGGATGGTGGCCATTCTCTGATGCATTGGTACAGAAGACTTCACTGAGCAAAAGTGGGCTGGATCTTTCAATCTGATCTTGTTTTTCATCTTGGCATATTAAGGCTTCTGTGTCTTCATCCTTCAGTGGAAAAACCCGTCGTTCCCACCACAAAGACTGCAAGAGAAAACATTTTCAGTTAAGTTTCAACTAATTTGTTTTATTTAAATTCATGTATCAAGTAATCAGTAAATGTCAATTGTGTAGTAACTATTATCTTCTTCTTTAGCACATAAATGTACAGATTTTCATTGGGACCTAAATATCTAGCAACTCAAAATGGAACGTACTGAGAATTGTTTAGGGATCTTGGGGAATTATTTTTTCACTTTGCCTCTTGCAGGAGGAGGAAGCGCTCCCACAGGGTGCTGGTCTTCATCTCATCCTGGGAGCACTTCGGGAAAGCCCCTTTTACAGACATCTGTCTACTGACTCTTCCTTCCCCGAGCTGTCTACGACTTGCCTGTTAATTTCTATAGTCTCCACTCCCTGCCTTCTAGATATGGTTCTTCTTTTCCAACACCTACTTATGAAGAAAAGTGCATGAACTTTATGGATGCGGTGTTAGAAAACGCTTCCCTCGAGGTTGAACTGGATCTCTGGGGAGACAAGTAAAAATCTTTTGTAAGAGGAGGAAGGGAAATAGCAGCTAACGTTGACTGTGTGCAGGTGCTATTCTCTTTAATCAGATGTGCTCTGTAATGAAACTGGTGGAATCCTTTGTTCCTAAGATGTAGGTGAGCAGGTGGAATGAGGTACTGCCACGTCACATACGAAGCTAAGGAGGTGTTTGTAGTTAGTGCTGGAACTGGAATGCTGGATTGCAGATCCTCTGATTTGTACTCAACATTCTATACTGAGAGTTGAAATGAATTTGTTATGTCACGGTGGAGCCTGAATTTGCAACAAGCAGTTTCTGCAAACAAGTTTACAAAAGGTTGAAAGGCAATTAAAAGGGGGTTTAAACAGTCATGGATATTCTACTGACCTTGATTTCTTGACTGCCGTTTAATGAAGGTGAGCTGTGTGCGCTCAGATGCTGGCTCTCTGCAGGGTGCTCCGTAGGACTCGCAGCAGCACAGGGCTGACCACCACTCCAGTCAGGAGGGTATTCTCTCAAAAGCAAGTCCTGTCCTTCAGCATTCTTACTGTACACTCTAGCAAGAAAATATTTAACTATTTGTTATTTTGTGAGGTCTTAACCTTTTATGAACAACTCAAGGTGTCACTACGTCAGTGTAACTTGATGGCTGTTCTTTAAACAGTTCTGCCCAAAGGATTTTTAAACTTCATCTGCTGATCTTCCTGATGCTCTTATCTTTGTGTCTCAAAGGCTTAACTAGGACTTTATGAAATCTTTTGCCAAATTATAATGGTTTTTGTTTTTGTTTTTTGGTTTGCCTTTTTTTGGAAAACAAGAAAGGACAGTTATTTGACCCTTAGAGTTTTTCTATGATTACTGTAATGTTATCCACGAAGGACTCATTCACATGTTCCTCTGTGCTCCTGGAAAGTTTTATATCTCTGGGATGTGGAGGAAAATGAGAATTGAATCTCATGTTAGGATGACTCTTAGAATAAGGATCTACAACAAATCTGGATATCTTGAGACCTAAACAGAGAAATGTGTTTTAACAGTACTAATTAAGTGCGAGATCCCCCTCAATAAAGTGACTACCAGATTCCAACAAGATCTTGCTTTTTGACTTTTGGCTGTATTAAAAAATAGTCAAATGTAAATATACAATACCAGAGATTTTCTCAAATATATAATTACTAGTTATGTTTTGAGGATTTATTCCCCCTTCCCCCAAAGTCATGTTCAAAGTATTTTACATTCTTTTCTTTTTAGACTGAACAGTTTTCTTGAGAATTTGTTTTTTTAAGAAAAACATTTTTTTGAAGTGGTTATGGTAAAATAAATTACCTAGATTCTAATCCTTAGTGTTAGGTCCACGATTACAGTACATTGAAATGACTACTTGATCTAGGGAGAATTTTCACACTGTTTGCTCAGTCAAATCTACTATTCCTGAGGCCGGCAATGAACATGAGAAATCGTGTGGTGTGAAATAACAGAAACTCGTGTCATCATTGTGTCATTAGCCCATGGAGATTTTGAGTGTAAGCCCAGTGAATGCAGTGCCCGAATAGCTGGTGTTATATCAGTGTGTTTTTTTCTTTTTTCTGGTCTCTCTCATTATTGCTGTAGGAGTTTTGTTGATTCTGCGGTTTGGGGTTTTAAATTGATAACACCTGCCTGTTGTTTCTTCTGTGCCACTTGCTTTGCTCCCATAGTGACCATCTGGCCTGCTCTCTCTCTTCATATATCTTGTGTCTTAGGGAAAAGACTTCATCAGAAAGATCTTCTATCTGGAATTAGAAATAAAAAGTTTTGCTTTTACCAGAAACATTTTGAAATATTAGAACAGGTTTCAAACAACCCTTCATCAAGAGAACAATAGGAAGAAAACTCTAAAATAAATGCATTCTAAGTCGAGAGAATGAGTGTTATGAGATGAGCTTCAAATTCCCAAAAAAGAGGGAGTTAAAACCTTTTTTTAAAACTTAACTATTGGGTCATGTTTGAAGACCTACCTAGATTGCAGTGCTTTCCATTTTCATAAAAGATTCTTAATACTTTATTCATTCAGAAGTTTGTATTGATTGCCTGTTATTGGTACGCTGTTCTAGGAATATGTTAATATCAAAGAAAAGTGAAACTAGTTGAGATAAAGGAGAATTTAACAAATGACTTATCTGGAGTTCTAAGACTTTGGTTGTGGTGTTTTAAGAATTTGTATTTCCTGGCTAGGATCATTCAGAACTAGGGAAGAGTGCATTAAAAGAGGAAAAGGCATTAAAAAGTAAATTTTGATAGTTGAAAAACACGATTGGTGGGCACAGAAAGATTGTTACTTCTGCAGATGATCACTTTCGAATTAGTTTGGTTATACAGTATTTTTCCCTGTAATTGTTCTTGTCTTAATGTAAGTTTTACACATACAGGTCCATAAGCCCTTTCCTGCAATTCCAAAAATCTGAAAAAACAAGTTTTCATAATTCATTTTGTGACATAGCATGATCTGAAATGATGTCAGGCTGTTCCACTGCCTATAAATATTTCACTTATAGAAACATTAATATTTTATTATGAGAACTGTTCTAGGTTCCCTATGTGTATTACATGATAGTGTACCTACCACATTACTTCTAAAGTCCAAAATTTTCCAAATTTGAAAGCTAATTTGTTGCCAAGATTTTGAATATGGCATTGTAGACTTGAATATTAAGACTAAGTCTCCTCATGCAGAAAAATATGACTAATACTGGGAATGAACGTAGATATTCACATAAATTGAGTACCTCAACAACTCATGTAAGCAAATGCATATTTTATTTTTGCTTTTCTTTATTCTTTATACATTATTGTCTTTGCGGTCAAATTTGCACAAAAACATTTTTCTAATCAAATCAATATCCTTTAATGAAGAACTTGCTTTTCATAAGTGAGAGGAAAAAATCAGTGTACAGTGTTACACTGAAAAACTCAGCGTTAAAGAGCTTATCTTTCCCTTTAGTCCCTCAAATATCAAATTAAGCAGGCCTCGTGATACATGAAGTCTAATTATCCCGTAAGTGAAAGCAACTTACCTCTTCTTCACCTAAATTACATTCATCCAAAGGCTGAAGAACAACCATCCTCCAGCTGTTGAAGATACAAATCAGTTTCAAACAACTTTTGTTAGTCTATCTAAATGTAGCAGCTTTATTCTCTAAGGACAGCTAACGAAGTAGTGTTTTCGTTCCTTGGGACTTCTATAATTTGAATGGTTGTATTTTAATACTTTTTTTTTTTATTAAGAGGAAAGGACAAGGAGAAGGTGAGGCTTTACTTTTGGCCTTCCAGTGAACAGTCTCTTCCACATAGCTGCATTTTTGTACCTAAGCATGTCCTTATTATGAATTAAGTCAGTGGTGTGCTGATAAACTGGCTCAGGAACAGCAACAACCCCGATTTGTAGCATGTGCCAGTTTCTTTGTGTGGAGACTCTCGTCATGGCCTCCTGAGTTGAACATCTGGATCCCAGAATTCCTCTATATTAAATAGCCAGCTCAACCAGCCAGCTTCAGCCTACCACGTAAGTTGAAAAACACGGTTGCAATAGAACAGCATAGCCACAAAGGTTATTCTTTACTTATGTAGAGTATATCAATAGATTCTCTGTAGGAGTTTTCATAATACCTCCTAGAGTATTAAAAGTTCTCCTAATACCTCAAAGTAATTATGAATAAGAGGATTATGAAATTTAGCTGGAATAGAGATGGGTAGGAATTACTGTAGTTGGCACCCAGCTCATGTCTCTTTCTGGCCTCTTCTCTCTCTTCTTGCTGGTGCTAGATTCATATTCTTAAGAAACTGCTTTCATCGTTGCTAAAAAAAATTCGACTAACTTGGCTGCCAGTAGGCAGCAGATCTGTGTATGGCATTCAAGGACCCCCACAGTCTGGTTCTAACTTCTTTTGCAGCCTGAACTTCCTTTATCGCCCTAGACAAAACCTCAGTCTCTGGCTAAGACGTGCACATTTGTCCCTGTGCCTCTGTTGTGGTCTCCCTGTGGGAATTCACTTTGCCCTCCCCTCCTTCGTGGACGTCTTCCCAGACCTTCCCACTCATCTCTCCATTAATATGCTTATTGCTGACTTGGCAGTACATCAAAACATTATTTTTGTTGTCACAGGTGTTACTGTCTTAACAGAGTGAATACCCCATGCAAAGGAGTTGCTTTCTTTGAACTCTTTTTGCAACCTTGTGCAAACCTCCATTTTAAAGAGCAAGGATTATTTGTTACTGTAATTATTTACATCCCTAAAATACCTTTTGGTGCCATATACATAATAGATACCAAAATATCATTGAATGAAAAAAACTCTAAGAGTGCTAAAGTAAATAAGTCCTTGGAATTTCCAATTCTTAATAAAAATTGAGAAGTAAAGTTGTGATACTATATGGCACTTTTGTTTTTCCGTGTGAGTAATGTAAAGGTTTCTTTCACCATTTTCTTTCCATGGTTATACAAGTGGAAGGAAGGGGGAAAGGAGCATCTTCCTTTCCATAATTAAAATTTTAACTTCACTCTGAAAATATAGGTATTCAAGAAAAAGAGGGAAGAGAGAAAAATAAGAAGATGTAAGTATTATACGTACCTTGGAGTAAGTATTTCCTTATATTGGAGTTTCTCTAATTTAGCTGGGGCGACTAACGACATGGGAATCACAATATTATCTATGTCATAGGAGCTCTCACTTCGCAATCTCCGTCGTGCAGGATTCTGCAAAATAGGATTACAGTAGGATCTAGTTACCTGTGATGATACTCTCCTTTCATGAGTTATGTAAAGAGAATATGGCAGTAGTACATTGTTATAAAATCTGACTATAAAATGTTAAGAAAAACAGGAAAGCATTCCTATCTTCCGTAAACCAGTGCAATCCCTTTTGGCGGGTATGCAGTATACCTTTGTGTGTGCACCCATACAAGCCTATTTTTAAGATCATAAAAAATATAAATGCCTTAAAATGCAAAACTCATCAGAAAAGATTACCATGAAGCACCCTGGATGTCAATGAAATTATCATTTAACAAACTCACTTTTTATTAGAAAAGCCTGAACTCTTTGGTGGGCCATTTAGTGAAGATTATTATTCCAGCCTTCATTTGTGTGCTGCTGGTCCCTGAGCATCACACTGCTCTTTCTAAACCCTGCCCCCTTTGACCTCTACTCCCTGACTAGGTAACAAAAAACTAAACAGAATAAGAACAACACAAGTGCTGAATTCTTACTAGCAAGATTATATTTAGCTTCATATTGAGGAGTAGGGATGGTTATGATATAGTTTTTTAAGTTTTGAACACAGAAAAAAAAGCCATAACCAAGGATTAATGAACAATTATCTCCTGAGTAAAAGTGTAATCAAATGTATTCCTTCCTAATAAGATAGTTTTAAATATGTACTAGTAAATAAGGCTGTAATAGATTAACAAATTTTAAATATGTACTAGTAAATAAGGCTGTAATAGATCAACAAAATATTCTATAATTTTTTTTTTCAAATCAGCTGGTTTTAAAAGTCTAGAAAGCGATATTAGAGTTCAGTATACAAAAAAACCTACTTGTGATGATGAATTTTGGGTTCTTGATATAACGCTGACATTAGTAACAGCAGCAAAATTGCTATGGGATCCTGGTTGTGTATGTTGAAAAGCAAATTCTTCAAATCTCGTTCTTTCTCCTGTCATGGAAAGATCCATTGAGAATTCATACATTAAACGTGACTGATAGGTATTAGAATTATTTTCCTAGTTAGGTAACATGTGACTCCTTACCTGTGAATTGATTTTCTTTTTATTACTTTTTAAATTCATGTATCAAAAAACAAAACAGAATTTAAGGAAAAAAATATCTTACCCACAGTCTTGCCACAATTATTCCCATCAGTTTTTATCCAGTGTATCTCATTATTTATTTAGTAATCTCATCCCCTCCTTTACTCTCTGCATGTTTTCTGTAACTTGGAGGCTGAACCTCCAAGACTTACCCTCCTTAATTTTCTTCTCTATTCTCTCATTCTTTTCTTGTCTTTGACTTTTTTGTTATACTTTCTGGGAGATTTCCTTAACTTCTGACCATTCTATTTTTGAAAATTTTCTACTATTAAAGTACTAATTTCTAAAAGTTCTTATTCTCTGTTATTTATTTTTTATAGCATCCTGTTCTTATTTCATGAATGAAGTTTTTCTCTCAGGGTATTAATTAGAAGTTTACTTCTATTCTTGGTATTTTCTGTGTTTCTTCCATGTTACTTCTTTCTGTTTGTTTTGGTTCCCTGTTGGTGAGTATGTATTCACTGCCATTGTTTATTTTACTTTAGTACGGATCTTAAAAAATAGTATTTTCCTGTGTAAGGTAAAATCTAATACCCAGTCCATATTTATATTTTCCCAGTTGTTAAAAAATGTACTTTATGGCTAGTTTCTTCAAATCAGAGACCACATATTGAAATTGGTTATTGTCTTGTAGGTATCTTATAATCTAGAAGAGTTCATTTTTCATGACATTGACTTGTTAAAGAGACTAGACCAAGTGTCCTGCACTTCAGGGAGTTGTCTAGTTGCTTCTTTTTAGTATAGCATTTTACTTGTTCTTCTATCCTGCATTTCTATCAAACTCTAAGTTAGAACTATCAATTCAAGTGAAACATTTTACATCTTAGGTAATGTGTATTTCATGGTACATCTTATTAAGAGATACAGGTTTTCCTATGTTTCAGCATACAGCATACATGTATGAAAGTTCCTCAAAAGCTGGGTGACCCTTGGTTGTCTTAAGATTGAGGCACTAAAAAGCATAAGGAAATCTCTAGACGGGGGTGATGTTTGTTAACTTTGTGCCACACTAGTTGATCAGATAGTGATTATGGGGTGGTGACTTGGTCTGTTATGGTGGGATTACTGGAAACAGTAGAGATAAATGTGTTAAATCCCTCATGTATGAATCTAGTCCAGTACATCTTGGACGTAATTAGTTTCTGATTTATTGGGTATATTGACATATTACATCTGGGGAATACTTGACCAATGTATATAGCGTTATATCCACTGGAACAATGAACGAGAACCAAAAGAGTATATAGATAATTTGCTATTTAATATATTTCCGGTTAATTTTTTTTCATTATTTGCAATAATTATGAAAACTATCTTATCCCAAATCCCTACAATAAACCCCACTTTGTATTACTAGCATAGTTCTAGTTTCAAAGACATCTCTATTGATCATCTAGGAACTATAAGTTCCTAAGGGAAACTGAACTAGGTAGTTGAGTTACCTTAGATGAATCTCATCCAATTTCTCAAAATTATGGAGAAGCTTCAGTGAATTGACACCTCCACAGTAGGTACCAGAAATGGTAATAAATTTCTATAAGGCAACCTTGTACTGACCTATTTTGAGTCCAGAACAGAACGCTGGAGACTAAGTCCTGCCCAGGAGGAAGCTGGTAGACGAGAACTCCAGGCAGGGAACACAGGAAGGAAATCCTTAATTGCCATACAGTGGATGGAACCAGTCCACAAGTAATTCTGAACTGACTACATGAATATGCTGTTTAATGCTCATAGGACCATGGATGTTTTGTGTAATTAGTGACTCTTCTGGATTATAAACTCTCTCAAGGCAGGGGTTCTTTGGAGATGAGAATTTTTTGTTTTCAGTTTCCAGTTCTAGTGCTCATATCCTCATTTTAACCTACCTAATGCTGTTTCACTCAAGTGCCTTTTCTTTCTTCCCTGTAACAGCTGTGCAGAAGATTCTGACCTTATCTGAGGCTTGCATGTAGGAGAATATCCATTTCTCCATTGATACAGAGAAGTATTACGTACTAAAACAAATGGAAAGAAAGGAAATGCGACGTTTTAGTTCCTTAACATACAGATAATGAACATATTAACCTGTTTTTACTTATAACATTGCAGAATTTTAATATACTAGATCAAAATTACATATACTACTTATGTACCAAGATGGAATATTCCTAAACTGAAAATACCAGAATAAGATTTCTTAAAAACATCTTCAGGAAATGCCCAATTTCGTATATTTGCTCCATTATTTGAAGGGGATGAAAAGGAAAGGTGATCTGTTCTCAAAGTCTTCTTAATTACAGATTTTTATAGAGAAGATTGGTTCACATCTGTAAATCTTGGCTGAATATGATTTGAATCTTTAAGTGAGTTTCTGCTAACCCTTAAATCTGGAAATAATTCAGGATCAAGTAAGATTCTGGAGAATCGAAACAGACTGGGACCTCGAGAGCGAGAGGTAGTAGTAGTCATTAGAAGGATATCTGACGTGAAAAGTATTCAGTGAACGTTAGTTTCATCATGATTATTGTCTGTGTGAACCTCGTATTTCCAGTACTAGATTAATAACCAAATTGGCTTCTTTTTTGAAGGGTTTGGAGATGCAGAAAGGAAAAGAAAAAGAAATATGTAGACTAAAGTGCAAAAAAGAGCATGGCCTACCACCAGTGACCGGGACACTGACTGCAAGATGGCCAAGCACCCTACAAATGATAGACAAAATTTTTATATACGTAGACAAATGCATAGACCTGCCCATACACATCCACATTAGTGTGCAAAAAAAGGAACTTGTAAGTAAAGCAGAATTTGTGAGAAATCCCTGAAAGACTAATACCAATATGGAATTTGACTGAAGAACAAACTCAGCACAGAAGGACGGGGCAAAGTACTGACACAAAAACGTCAACACCAGAGGTGTTCTAGACCTGGAGAAAAGGGAAACTGGGAGCAGGACAGTTATCTGGAGCAACTGCAGGTCACTGCCTCAGGCGGGCGGCTTGAGGAGGTTTTCTGCCTCATCTGACAAAATCGGAGCCTTCAACAGAGAAATGGGTGGGTGGAGAGAGAAGGCAGTGTGCCCCACTTCGAAACATGCCCTGCCCATCCCCAACTGCCTCTGCAAATGGTATAGAATGCAAATCTCTACCCCTTCCATGAAAAGGGCCCTGTAAATAGCCGTGGCAGAATAGTCTTAACAGTGAATCTCAGCTTTAAAGATGAGTACATAATCAAGAGTCCAAAAATCTCAATACTAACACCATAAAACACAGAGACGTGCAAGCAACAAACGGGAGAACCATCTCAAGAAACAGTTAATGGATTCACAGGATACTGATTAACAGGTTTTTAAAACAACTAATATGGCCTAGAGAAATCTCAGAAATGGAAAATTGCTCAAATTTAAAAACAAAATCATCACTAACTGGGCTGGATAATAGAATGGACACGGCTGAAAATCAAAATCATTGGGTTGGAAGAGGAATTCCACAACTCAAAGGAAGAGAGTGATGGAAAATATGAAAGAAAAAAAGGAAGACAAACCAAAAGGGGGTAAGAGAGGAGAGACTAGAATGAATGGGAGGCAATATTTGAAGAAGTGATAGACAAAAATTTTTTCAGAATCAGTAATCTTAACCCGAAGATTTCAAGAAGTCGAGTGTCAAAGCAAATGAAAATTATAATCATACAGTGAATCACAGTGAAGTTATCCTAAAAGTGACCAGAGAAGGGATAAAAAGATTACTGCAAAGGAATGAGAAGCAGATTGACGTGAGGCAAAGCTAGATGTAGGAAACAGAACAACAACTTGAAAGAGCTCGGGAAATGGTAGGCAGATTCCAACACGGCCCCCAGGATTCTCACCACCCCAAAAAGGAATGTGGAGAAAGATGTTACACAGAGGACAAAATTAGATGGCATAATTCTAAACTCATTTCTGAAAAAGGGTAACTAGAATTGTGAGAGGTTTTAAAATGTGTGTGTGCCTGGCACAGGTAGTCGTTCCAATAGTGCCCACTCTTGTTTTAATGGAAACAGTTTTGGACTATTTTAAAGCAAATTCCAGACAATTTACCCTTCTAAAAGCTATTCACCACTCTTAAAGCACATCCAACTTTGTGAAGAAAACAACCTTCACAAAGGTGATGCTTTTTATTGAATTTTACTCAAAAGTTTTCTTTACATTTATCATTGCTCTCTTATTCTTTAGTGTCTTGTAAGGTTACAATAGACTCTGGAAACAGTAGGAAATATATGACAATTCAGAGTCTAACTCCACACATTCTGCTTACCTGTTCTATTTATAATGACCCTCCCAGCCTTTCCATTCTTGCTCTCCCAAATCCTCCCCTAGATTTCATCCTAAAAACACACCTTGCTCCGGTATCTCTCCTATCTCCTGTCTTGCCTTCCTTCCTTTTCTTTGATGCATTTAGCAACTTTAGAGAGACCCAGTTACACACTGGGCACTGTTACAGCCTGGGGACACAATGGTGAGCAAACACGGGCATGGTCCCTGCCCTTGAAGTGATTTACAGGCATTACCTCACAAACTGCAACGAACATGTGACAGAAAAGAAAAGTGAAGGAGAGTGTGTACTAGAGAGCTAGTAAGATCCCTAGGACAGGCCTCCCCAGGTAAAGGGATCGATTTCAAATATGAGCAGAAATAGCTGATGGCAGCAGGGGGGAGGGAATGGTGTGTGCAAAGGCCCAGGGCCGCAGGAGCAGGACGATTGTGGCAACTGAACAGCAGCTAGTAGTGGAGTAAGAAGACCTGGTGAAAAAGCATGAACAGGCAGCCAGCCTGGGTGGGTGGGGTTTAGGGGTCCTTTATGAAGACTGTTCCCTCTGTCAAATGTTTTCAGGGAAAGGGGGTGGCGAGCAGGTGTGACATAACTAGGTTTGCATTTTGAAAAGATCACCCCATACAGGGATTGGAAGGAAATAAAGGTGATGAGACTATTTCAGCAGTATAGCTGAGGGATCATGAGGTTGGACTGTGAAAGGGGCGGGAAACAAGACAGAAGAGCAGATTTGAACAAAACAGCACTGACAGTTGGTTTAGATATGAAGAAGTGGGGGTGAAGGTTGAGCCCCAGGTTTCTGGCTTGCTTGTGGGGTGGTGGTACTATTCCTGTTTCACCTGTCCTCTAAAAACAATACACTGTACCTTGACGTAATTTCAGGCTTGAGAAAAACTAACAGTGCAAAGAATTCCTATATTCCCTTTCCTCCGATTCCCCAAATGTTAACATTTTATCACATTTGCTTCATCTTTCTGAGCTCTGATGACATTAAGTTGCAGACATGATGCGCCTCTACTCTAAATACCTCAATATGTATCAATAGATACATCAGTATGTCAGACACAAGTCATTGTCTTATATAGCCACACGATCAAAATCCAGAAATTGATACCAATAGCTAACTGTAGACCTTCAGATTTCACCAGTTCTTCCTATAATGAACTTGATAGGAAATTTTGATCACTTGTTGCATTCAGTTGTCAGGTCTCCAAAGTCTTCTTGTATCTAAGCAGTTCCACTGTCTTGTCTTTCGTGACTTGGAATATTTTGATGAGTACAGGCCCTCAAATTGCCTTTGTCTGGTATTTCGTCGAGACTGGCGACCAGTCATCTATTCACTCTTCAACCCTCTACGATTGGGCTTTTCCCTACTTTTTACCTGAAGTCAGCAGTGCTGTCGTAATTGCCGCCTCTGATGGACATCACAGATTAAGTCCAGGCTCTGTGAGCACACACATCTGTCTGCTCACCCTCACACGGTTTATTTACCCTGCACGAGTACAAGGCTGTGTGTACACCTGAACACACCACGCTGCTTCGTGTCTCCATGACGAGTCGTGTGTTGTTTCCATTTTAAAACCTTGTTACTCAATATGGGCCAATAGTATTTGAATCACCTGGGACCTTGTTAGGAATGCCGAATCTCAGACTCTATTCCAGACTTGCTGAATCAGAAGCTGCTTTCTAAGGATATTCTCCAAGTCATTTGTTTGCACGTTAAAGTTTGAGAAACGATCTGGAACAGTTCACTCTTCTTCCTCTAAATTCCAATTACGTATATAAAGTTACCCCTTTATCACCATCTTCCTGGAGTTCCTCTTCTTGCCTTTTCCCATCAGCCGTAACCTCTCCTCCTCTGCCTTTCCCTAGGCAGAATTATACACTCCCTCTTTTTAGAATATTTTTATATCTGTGCTCATCACATCTTCCTCCTATTACATTATAATTCCTTTGATTTCTTGTGAGTCACCCTTGACTCTGCAGCACTTAACAGTCTGCCTGGCACAGAGAGGTGCTCAATACGTGTTGAACTCTAGTTTCACTTAATTCTGTAGAAATCTTTAACAGTCAAAGAAAAATTAATGACCAGCTATTTAAGACAGATACTTATATAAGATGAAACCTAATTAATGCTTAATTATTTGGGTTGGGAGTGGTATGGAATGAGAAGATAGGGGAGGAGAGATTGGGATACTAAAGAATACGTCATTGATTTGCCTAATATGACTGCAGCATTCAACTCAAATGTCTTCCATTCCTAGCTCTTAATTTCCCATCACTAACATGTCATTACCTTATTGATACATTAACATTGATTTTGTGCCTAACACATTTACATTGCCCTATTTTTTAAGTCAGATAACAGCAACATTAGAAGAAATAGTCACCTAATCTCACTTATCTACCTGAAATATCTGAGGGTCCTGTTTTTACTACACAGTCTTGCCCGAATTGATGATTATAATGTTTAAACTTATTAATGTAATCGGAAAAAATAGTAAACGTTTAGCAGTGTCTGGCACATAAGCGCTCATTAAATGTTAGTTGTTATTGTTTCCGTTATCATCCCTGAATACACCTAGTTTTTCTTCTAATTCTTTAAAGATATTTGTAACATTTAACTCTTTAATCTATCTGGAATGTATTTTAATATTCATCTTAAATTGGTTTTAATGTAGCGTAAAAGGCAGAGATCTCATTGTATTTTATTTTTTTCCAAAAAGTGATTATTTAATGCCTCTGATTACAGAGGAAACGTAGTTGTTTGAAGCACGGACTCTGAACCAGACTGGATCTGCGTTGTGGCGCTACCACTGCTCAACTGTTCCCCCGCCCGGCTGACTAGGGAGAGGAGTTCGGGGAGTTAGTGAAGGAGAAGTATAACCATCATACCTGCCTTAGAGGGGTGTACAGACTGAAGTGATTAACAAACGTACAGCCCTTCAACCAGGGCTGGCATGTGCGAGCGGCTTCCTAGGAACCATCTGCTGTCATGACTGACTGATGAGGCCGTCCCTTCCACACTGGTAGGAAGTTCCACCTTATCACACAGTGACCCTGGGTCTGTCGCTGGGCTCCTCTCCACTTCCCTTAATCTGGCTTCCATCAGCACCACAACATGTTCACAGTTACAACCTTATAATACATTTTCATATCCGACATCTGCTTATTGATCTTTTAAGAATTTTATTGGCTATTTAACTTTTTCTCTCAGAGATAAACTTAAGAATATCTTTGTTCCAGAAGAAGAGTATGTGATTCTGTGATTCTGATTAGATTCTGATTAGAAGTACATTATAAATTAATTTGGGGAAAACTGACATCTTAAGTGACAATGCTGTCTTGGACAGAAGGGGGTATTTCTCTCCATAGAGGCACATACTTATGTTCCTCAGTAAACTTGGAGTTTTCTTCATGTAGGTCCTTGTTAAGTTTAATCCTAGATATTTTATATTTTCTTTGTTAGTATGTCTAGGATAATTTATTCTCTTGCATATTCTAACTGGTTATTACTGGCATTTATAAAAACTATTGATTTCATAAATTTTAAAATCTGCTTCCTTTCAGAACTCCAATTCTAACAGGCACTCAGGTGATTCCTGACTTTTTGAGATAGATGATTATTTCATCTAGAAGTATTTCTTAGTTTGTATGACTTTTTGATGTTGAGAAGATTTTAGCTTTGCAGATAGTCAAAATACGTTGATGTTTTTCTTTCTTCTTCTGATTGCTTCCAAGCATAGATAATGTCTCCACCCCCATTCAGAGTACTCATAACACGTTTCATTATAATTCTTCAAGTTTTATTTTGTAATTTTAGTGTTTTATTTAATATTCTTGGAACCAACTAGAATTTATTCTGATACATGATACAAAATGAATGTCAAACTTTCCCTCAAATACTAACAGTACTGTTTATTGAATAGCTCTCCACTTTCTTATTGATATATAATTCTTCCCTGATATAATAAAGAGTAAGCTATGTCTGCTTCATGGGTACATTTTCCTAAATGTAAGCAAAACAGAATCTCTGCTAACTTACAGATTTTGTCATGTTTCCCTATGTGCTCAGGCTAGAGTCTCTCAGTACATTTTCCTGCAATTCCTTTTATATTTTCCTGTTTATTCTTCCCAGTGGGCTTTAGAATTGTTTTGTTAAGTTAACCAAATTCTATTAGAACTTCAAGTTACATTGCATTAGATATATAAACCAATAGGAAAAATTGATATCTTTATTAATCTTACCATCCAAGAATGCTGTTACTCCACATTTATTTAAATTTCCTTTTTTATTTATCAATAATATTTCATAATTTCATTCAATAAGTATCACACATTTCTTGTTAGGATTACTCCTGTGTATTTTCTATTTGTGTGTGTGTGTGTGTGTGTGTGTGTGTGTGTGTGTGTGAGTGATTTGTGAAAAGTGAATATTGAAAATTAAGGATTTACATTTATTCCTTTGTTAAATTTTATTTCCTTAGAAAGCAAAAGTAATAAGTATATGAAAGACGTAAAGGGTATATAAATACAAGATTTGTAAATGACATACCAGGTGATGGAGATATGATACAGTCTCCTACAAATTTATTTTCAGCAAGATCTCCTTTTATTTCAGTCTTTTTTAACAATGTCTCAAAGTGAAAATGCAGAGGCACATCTGGAAAAATGAAGTAAAAGTACTTTCAGTGAACACCACTCTCTACAGACTCTAATATTAAGACTGCTTTCTTTCCATAAATAGCACATAAACTTAGAAAAATAAGCAAAAGCTTGAAAAGTCACAACTATCAGAAGTGGCAAAATAGTCTTTACAAGTGTATTGGTAGCAGTATTTTGGAAATGACTGGTTATATGTAGTAAATAAACAAAAACACTAACGATGAACAACTTCACAAACTAAAATAGTACATAAGATGAACAAAATTATAAACATTAATAAATAATATTCACAGATGAAACAAATATACTCCAAAGGTCTTTACTATAAACACCCAGCCAAAACCTGGCTGGCTTAGTCCATTCCCCCACTCCCACAACCTGCATTTAAAATAATGAGGGTCCAAAAGATAAAATAACCTGGTTTTAATTACTTGAGGGAAAACCACTATAATTCTGATGTAACCTTTTATGAAAATATCAAGTTTCACATTCCCTTAGTGTCTAGTAGTAGGAATCAGAGAATGAATCTACTTTTACAAAGATTAAAACCTAGTGACACACACTCTTTTCCTTTAACTAGAGACTTAGAGAGATGTTCAGTTTACTATGCTTATATTCTATACTCTCACAACCAAAAGAGGAGCCCAGTAATAAGGTAGATGTGCTTCACATTTATTAATTAAAGAGTTTTCTCCTTCAATGTAAAAACAAAATCAACTTAAAAAGCATTTATTAATAGACACCTAAACTTTTTCCTAAGAAACATAAAGAAATATTTTATAAAGCAGTTGATATACTGAAAGTTTTGCTATTGAAAGAAGCTATTTATTTATAAGAAAACTAATTATGAACACATAAATCAGGAGAGACCCAAGAAGGTCTCGATTTTAAACAAAGAAGTATCTCTCCTTCAAATGATGTATTTTAATGGTAGATCCATACTCAAGTGTGGAAAAATATGCAAAGAAAAAATGGGGTCATGAGTATCTCCATGGAGTCTGAGCCAGGGACAGGTAGGATGGATTTCAACCCCAGCATTATACTATGGTCATATGAAACTGTATGACAAAATGGAAATGAGAATACAGATTAATTATGCTGCTTAAACATTTTGGGATTCTGATATTTTCCAATTACCAAAACAAGTCTCTCCAAAGAAATATCACTTAATTTTACAAAGAGAATATCACCTGTTCTACCACTGTTCTTCGTGAGTTGTGGGAAAATGTAACGTTAAGTAGGGAAGTCCTTGTCCCACCTGGACACCTTCCTTAGTACCCACACCGTGACCTGTGGGCTGTTACAAAAAGGTTTCATAATATTTTATTACATGTACTAGATTACAGTTCAGTTGTTTTAAACTAGAATGCAAGTACCTTGAGGGATTTATTTGTATTTATACTCTTAGCACCTACTTAGTACCTAGTATACGGTAGGTGTTCAGATTTTTATTAAATGAACACAAGAAGAAACAGATAACCCTAATTAGCAAGTGAAGAAGCTAATCTTAACGTATTAGAGGGGACATAAGAGGATTAGGATGAAGGATATTTATATCAGCTCTCAGGGTTATGTCATCAGAGAAACAAATTTACTAATAAGAAAACAGGCAGTCAAGAGTAACAGGAATGTGGCTTTGGAGAATAACTACCTCAGGGCAAATCCTGCTGCTGTCATTTATTAACTGTATAGTCTTGGATGAGTAATTTAACATCTCTGAGCTTCAGTTTTATAGCATATAAAATAAAGAGGACAACAGTATCCATTCTCATGGGGTTGTTGCAAGAATTAAACAAGAAAATGTAATGTGCTTATAGGGCACAGTGTGTGCTAAGACCAAATGTTAGCTGTATGATTATTGTTATATTTATTATTGCTTCCATTATTAAGGTTTCCTCAAAGATGGAATAAAATAGTTCCTGCCAGAAACTTACTTCAAAGTATGATACAGCTAAGAAACCACTCTAATACTCGTAAAACCAAACTAAGACTCAGGGCAAGGAACAGGCGTAAAAATAGTGCTTTACAACGGGGAGCAGTCCCTAGATGATTAGAACCAAGAGCTGAAAAGGAAACAAAGCCCATTTGAGATATCCTCCCGTAAGAAGAAGAACCAGAGATAATCAGTGTGAAAAATGTTTCCTTTTTTACCCTAAATATGTACTTCAGTTCAGATATAGACAAGACTGGAAAGCTCCAACAGAAACCAAGAACTGGAAACAACACCACCTTAGGGATGTGGGGATGTATACGCGTCACTGACTCAGTTGTAGATTACGATATTCTTGGGGTTCAGAAGTTGACTACAGTCGTGAGCCGCATAATGACGTTCTGGTCAATGATGGACCACATATATGATGGTGGTCCCATAAGGTTAGTACCATACAGCCTAGGTGTGGAGTAGACTGTACCATCTAGGCTTGTGTAAGTGCACCGTGTGATGTTCACATGACAACAAAACCACCCAACCACGCATTTCCCAGAACATGTCCCCACTGTTAAGGGCCGCATGACGGTATATGTAAGATGGACAATTTTTTTTCTCTTGGGGAAATTCAATGCTGATGATAAATGGAGGAGTATTATATGTCAGGGAAAGCCCCACGCCAAAACAGCACATCAGAAAAGGAACACTGACTGAGAAATAGCTCAACAAGCACAGCCATGTTATCAATAAAATGCTAAAAGTTTAACACTCAAAACAAGATCAAAACCTAGTTATTTCCCAAGGTAAACCAAAACGGTTTCCAAGGAATGAAAGAATCAACTTGCAAAGATGGAATGCTAACTCAGCATGTGACTAGATTAACTCTTCTATGGAAACTCTTTAGGTCTAATATCCAGTGACAAAATAATTGATAGAATTTTATTAGATTCCCTGTATTTACAGGATTAGATTTCACTATCGAAAATATTCAGAGTTACTTTGAAAGTTTTTGTAAGGAAGCTTACCTGACGGCAGCGACAGCACAGAATGGAGGGAAGCATCTAGCTCTGATGCGTGTTCTGCTAACACGGGAGACTTTGAATTGTGCCCACAGCTACTCCAAGTGGACGCTGACTGCAGGCAAGGCATTTGTGTCGTGTTTAAAAACGTCGTTTCTTGTGAAGGCAGAGTCTGCAAGGAAAAAAAATAATTTAAAGACTTCATTTTCACTTGAAAACTGAATCAGAGAGTGACAGTTATAGTCCAGTCTCTGAATGACACCAGAAAGAAGTCCTGGCTTAATAAGTTGCCTTGGAGAAAGAGCTTCCAGACGACATCGAGGAAGTGAGCAGCTATTGAAGGCCGTGAATGTGATGAGATTTGACTGCTCCCTTTCCAGTTTTCAAAGTGAAGAACAATGTCTATGAAAACGGGTCTTCCTGCCATCTTGCGAAATCACCATAAATAGAAATGAGTTTGAGGAACTTTGGGTCCAAAGAAAATGGTTACACACTAGACAGAACCGCAAGTGATGATGAGCAGGTGCTATGTTGAGATTGAGAGTTGTGTCTAAGGTTTTCCTTCTTGGAAGCTGTTAGAACAAATGAACGGAACTGGAGTCTCCCCCTTAAATTCTAGTGCCAGACAGTGTCTACACCGCATTAACAGTGAAGTACTGTGATCGTGTTACATGTAATTTAAAACCAAACATAAAAAAAGATATGTATGAAACACACAATATGTCACATGACTGAGTTTCTTAAGATAAAGTTATGATTTGAGTCCAGTAATGTCAAGAAGCCCATTTGCTAAATCAAAACAGTAATGTTGCTACACTAAAAAATTCATATTCTGTTTAAATGCTGGATTAAAAAAATTTTTTTTTCTGGTTATAAAATTAGTATAGGAAAAAAATCTATAAAAGAGAGAAAATATTTCAAAAGTTAATAGAGTTCACTTGTACTCCTTCCCTCTCATCTCTACCTCCTAAATTAACATTAGGGCTGATTTTTATCTTCTTTTTCTTTTTCTTTGCTGAGGAGGATTTGCCCTAAGCTAATATCTGTTGCCAATCCTCCTCTTTTGTCTTGCTTGAGCAAGATTCGCCCTGAGCTAACATCCATGCCAATCTCCCTCTATTTTGTACGTGGGTCACTGCCACAGGATGGCTTGATGAATGGTGTAGGTCCGTGCCTGGGATCCAAACCCACAAACTTTAACCACTCGGCCACAGGGCTGGGCCCTGATTTTAGTCTTTTAATGTAATTGATATTTAAAATGCTTATAATAACTGAGATCTTTAGACGCTATATTTAAACATTTTTATTTTATAAATTTACGAGGCTTGTCAACTTTCTTGAGTCTGGGTTTCCTGGCTAACCTCAGCATTTTCTCTGTGTTTGCAGGGCACTGTGGGTGTATCTGTCTCCACCACAGCATTCAACCAGAGTTCCTTTGGACCGTTGGCTCCTTGAAGGGTGGACTGTAGTCTGTACAATCCTGTATCCCAGAGCCAGACACAGTCCCTGACAGATAGTTGAAACTTGAATGCTGACCAAGTTTTACCTTATTTGCTTTCAAAAAAAAATCATGTGAATAAAACATTTCAAATGTATGTAGGCCTGAGAATGTTTCTTCCTTTGGGAAAAAAGAACCAGTCCCTGTTAATATATGCTCAAATTTATCACGTAGTGACTTCTGTTTACATTCCACTGGCCGAGACGTAGGTTGGACAGTCATAGCTAGCTGCAAGGATGGCCAGGGAATGCGGTCATTCTGGACGGTCAAGTAAACTGATGAGTTTTTATAAAAAGGTATAACCTGTAAATACATGATTACAAGAAGGTGCGTCATTTCCAAGATTTTTTCTACCGATGTTCTGTGTATATATTTATGGGAACAGTTGCTGTTTCCTACCTTTACCAGATGCACTGGTCCTTCTGACTCACTTTAGCATTATCTGTTCTTTTATGACGTAATTCAGAAAGGTACAAAGAACATTTATTTGCAATTACAAAGAAAATATGTGCTAACCTCCTCTTCTCCATATCTGGCTAGAGCATTATGAATAAAAGGTGACAAATATGAATATTTAGCGTATAATTAGTTTTCTCCTGCAATTTTTCTGTATCCAGGAAACCCATTAGCCAATGTGAAACTATCCTAAATAATTATGGAGACAAGTGAGGGGCATCTAGGAAAAGGCCCTTTTTCCCTGTAGAGAAAGTGAAGCTCAGGAGGCTGAAAAGGAATGGATGCAGAAATAAGAGAAAAACCAGGAGATTCTTGCCAATAAAAATGCACATGTCTAGAGGGTGTGCGCAACGATACAACATGGTGCATAAGATCCCAGCAAAATCAAGCCTGAAAAGTCTCCACTGATGTACTGCACTTGAATAATGAAACATTTAATATATACAAAAGAATATATAATTTATGGGGAAGGTATAAAATAATTTTTAAGAAACATCTAAACTCGCCACCCTACTTTACGAAACAGAACAATGCAATCCCTCTGACGCCTTCTCCTACCCCACCCGCAGGAGCCAGTGGCAGAGACCGCCTTTCCCTCCCCGTGTCTGCGCTCCCTTCTCCCTGTGCTAGCACTCCTGGTTTTCAGCTGGGTACATTTCTCAGGCTTCCTGTGTAGGGGAGGAAGACAAATCCTCTACCCTCTAGGTCCTTCTGGCTGGCCTACAAATTAAATTGACATGAGACAGAATAACATGAGAAAAATCAAGGTTTAATAACGTCTTCATTTCCACCAAAAACCCTTAGACCTTTTGTTTAAAAATATATTGAATCTGTAAATCAATTGGGAGATTTTTGATAGTTATCACAATTAAAGATCATCCAGTCCATGAATATAGTGTATTTTAGGTCATCTTTAATTTCTTTCAACAAAACTTTAGAATTTTTTCCTCTACAAGTCTTCACATATTTTGTTAGGTATATTCCTAGGTACTTTAATATTTATTGTTTCAATTGTAAAAGGAATTTAAAAATATAGTTGACTTTTGTATACTGAACATATCCCACAACTTTGCTAAACTTTCTTATTGTAATAATATATTTGTAGTTTCTTTTAGTTTTCTATTATCCAAACATAGTATCTACAAATAATGACAGTTTAGTTTCTTTCATTCAATCCTAAAGCCTTTATTTATTATTATTTAGGGTGTTTCAACCATACTAGATGGGCTCACCAGTTCAATAATGAATAGAAATGATCAAAATGAGATACTGTTTTCTTTCTGATTAAAAAGGAAATGCTTTTAATTTCTCAGAATTAAGAATGATGTGAATTAAGAAAGATCGTAGGATTTTTTTTTTTGGTATATTCTTTATCAGAATGTATTCCTAGTTTGCCATTCTTAAATATATTAATGTTGAATTTAATCATACACTTTTTGTGAATCTATTGAAATGATTACATGGCTTTTCTTCTTTAATCTATTAATGTGAATTACCTTAACAGATTTTTAAATGTAAAACCAACCTTGGATTCTTCTTGAGGAATCTTGCTAGAGGTTGACCAATTTTATTAATCTATTCAAAGAACCAACAATTAAATTTGTTTATTTTTTATATTGTGTATAGAAAGTTATTATATTTTTATGTTTATATTAGTTTCATTGATTCCTATCTTGTTTTCTTTAGGATTAATCAAATATTTTGTTATATTTTTCCCTTCTATTAACATATATTTATACATTCTTTTACTTTTCTTTTAGTGGTTTCCCTAGAGATTACAATGTGCATCCTTAACTTATTGTCTTTTCAGTATAATACAAATTATTCCTTTTACCACTTCCCTGAATACAATGGGACATTAGAACACTTTAACTTCTTTTACTCTCTCTCTCTGTGTTATTGTTGTCATGCATTTTAATTCTATGCATATTTAAAACCCTGCAATACATCGCTATTAGTGTTTTTGCTGTCAACATTTATATTACCAGTACATTTATCCTTTCCCTTGTTCTTAGCTCCTTCCTACAATTCTCTGTTTCCATCTGGGATGGAAATGTTCCTTCTCCTTTTGCTATTATTATAGTGTAGATTTGCTGTCAACAAATTGTTTCAGTTTTTATTTATCTGAAACCTTTGTATATCATCATTTTTGAAGGATATTTTTGTGGATATAGAATTCTAGGTTGGCTTCTGTTTTTCTTGCAGCATTTTAAGGACACTTGCATCTTCATTTGGCTTCCATTGTTTCTGTCGAGTAGTTAGGTCTGATTGTTGCCCTCATTTGAAGGTAACGTGTCTTTTTTACCTTGGCTGTTTTTAATATTTTCTTTATGTCTTCACTTTTTTAGCAGGCTTGCCATAATATGCCCTGATGTTACTTCTATGTATTTCTTCTTTTTGAGGTACACAGAACTTCTTGAGTCCATGGGTTGAAGTCCTTTTTTAGTCTGGGGAATACTCTCTATTATTATTTGTTCAAATGTTACTTCAGCCCTCTTCCCTCTCCTTTCTTCTAGACTCTAATGACATATATGCTTAGACTTTTTTTCACTGAGTCACACATTTCTCTAATTCTGCTTTCTGTATTTTTTCATTATTTTATCTCTGTGCTTCTGTCTGAGTATTTTATATTAGTAAGTCTTTTAGTTCATTAATTATATCTTCTGCTCCACCTAATTTGTAGTTAAGATAAACAATCTTAAAAGTATACTGAACAATGCCACCCCACTTTTAGGGGGCTTTTGTCATTTATGTTTTAAGCCTCCTGCTCTGTGCAGCCCCAGTATTTAGCAAATGTTCTGAGGAGAACATTGGTCAAAAATGTTCTGAAGTCAGGAAAAAGACAAGGGTGCCCACTCTCACCACTCTTATTCAAAATAGTACTAGAGGTTTTGGCCAGAGCAATTAGGCAAGAAAAAGGAATAAAAGGATCCAAATAGGCAACGAAGAAGTGAAACTCTCACTATTTGCAAAAGACATGATTTTATATATAGAAAACCCTAAAGAATCCATTGGAAAACTATTAGAAATAATCAACAACTACAGCAAAGTCACAGGGTACAAAATCAACCTACAAAAATCAGTTGCATTTCTGTATGCTAATAATGAACTAACAGAAAGAGAGCTCAAAAAGATAATATCACTTACAATTGCAACAAAAAGAATAAAATATCTAGGAATAAATCTTACCAAGGAGGTGAAAGACCTATACAATGAAA